GCTTGAGCAACTCTTTGCTCAAAAGCACTTGGGCTCTTTTGCGTCATTGTGTCGGCAGCATATATTGCTTTGTTTGCTGATATCGATAAACACAACTTATATTAATTTGTTTATTTTCATATAGTAATTTCAATGTGATATTTGACTCAGTGGCAGCTAAGGTCATATGTAGATAGTATGGCTGCACAGGGCAGTGATGCACTTGAAAACTACTTTAACAACCGACGGTAAATAAAAGAAAATACCGATAAGATCATTTTTATGCCGTCAAAACCATTTTTCCCGGTTAATTAGACATCAAACTAATAATTATTGCTATTTTTTGCTAGACTGATTTTTCATTTCATTAGCACTTTAAGATACCTTGAAATCACGAGTTTTCACGCTAACTTATGCAACGTACTCTCTGTCTGGTAATTGCGTAGTGGGTGCGTAGTTATGGAAACATTAGAAACACATCTAATGTTGACGAAATTGACACGATTTGAAGAGCAAAAAATCCTGATAATTTTCGATTTTAGAACACACCAGGAACTTAAACGTTTGATTAATAGAAGTGCCGATATTTTAAATGACAGCTACATGAATTTAATTATGGGAATCTCCGCTGACAAATTTCGTCATCTGGTTGTCGGATTGGCGCGAAAACTCCGCCAAACCTGTTTGATGTTTTTTTGCTTTCCATTTGGATCCCACAATTTTCGTTAAAAAACCATGGATCATTAAAATATCATATTTAGTTAATGATCTTTTCGGATTATCGGTTTAGAAATAACGTCAACTCTTTCCCGCCGAATCTTAAATCAGGCTTTTGAGTGGGTGTATTTATATTTTCGGGATTCACCGTCGTTCGCCCGACGAGGTATTTCCGGATCAGTCAGCTATAATACACAGTTTCATATAAATGGTGTGGAAATACCGTACAATATTACAAGTGTAGAACAGAAAATCAGGATTTCTATTATGTACAAGGTGAGGTTTTATTGGGCAATTTCTGTATCCTATGGCGATTACAGTAAACCTCTTTCAGATAATATTTCAATTTAGTCCAAATGTTGAAAAATCAATTTCGAAACTGGTAAATTTTATCGCAGTGTCGTAGTGTCTCGATTGGTCGTTTGTAGTACAATGACAGAGCGGTTGTATACAAACATTGACCGCCACGAAATTATGAATGGATTACTTTTGAGGAGAGTTAATTAGCTGCTGGAGTATCTCTAGAATTCAAATAAAAGAACTTTTAAAGATTTCTCTTCAGAAACATACATCTAGAGGGTTGTTTTTTGGCTAGAAAGCTGCCTGAAGTGGAATATTATAATGCTGCACATTTCCACGTGCAAGTTGTTGGTTTGCGCGCCGCTATTCTTTGAGTTATAATATCTAGACTTTTCGTCAGTGCTGTGAGTTTTTTCGGTCCAAACAAACAGTTGTTAAAAAGCCATGAAGCATTAAGCCTGTATGCACTCATTAACGGTCTTAGAACATGATGCATTGAATACCTTTAGTTAGAAAACACAAAGATGTCACGTTCCAGTGTATTATTCGTTGCTGTGCCATTGCTTTGGTGATAAGTAAAAAAATGATGCACCGACTTACTTAGCCTTTTCCATCGGTTTCTGGTAGGCTGAGTTCTACCATCAATATACTCGTTGAAAAACTACCATGTTAATTTAGATTAAACATAGATCACAATCCTTGGCAGGGAGGCCGTCTACACGTATATCAAAATTCATAGACAGCCTTATTATAACAATAAATAGAAAATTTCACCGAGAAAATTATGGTTCTTTGAAGGGTCAACTAATTTTTTAAAGCAGTTAAATTTGTTCTCTTTTTTTTTCTTCACTACGATCCAACATGATCGATCACCAATTTTCATAGTATTTCACAATCCTTCAAAGTAAAGTCACGTAAATTACAGAAATTAAGGTTTTTGAATTTCGAATCAATACTTGTCATTTCATCTGAACGTTCTATTTTACTGCCCATTCTTGCCACTCTTGAGTTCATAACCACGCGATTGCTTCCGGTGTTTAAGTGAGATCCCGCCGCGAGATACGTTGTCTTAAGCCGAATGAGGCGGTTTGTTTTGTTACTATAACCTCGAGATCTCTTTCAGGGCCATTTTTATTGGCCAATTTTAACGAATTGATAAGCACTGATGCTGATAATACTCACAGCCAGTTCTAGTGTTCTTAAAAAGACTAAATTGACGAAATTGCTGTCGAAATTGACACGATTTAAAGAGCACAAAATCCTGATAATATTCGATTTTAGAACACACCCGGAAGTTAAACGTTTGATTAATAGAAACGCCGATATTTTAAACGACAGCTACATGAATTTAATTATGGGAATCTCCGCTGACCAATTGCGTCATCCGGTTGCCGGATGGCGCGAAAAGTCCGCTAAACCTGTTTGACGTTTTTTTTTCTTTTTATTTCGATCCCACAATTTCTGTTAAAAAGTCATAGATCATTAAAATATCATATTCAGTTAATGATCTTTTCGACTTATCGGTTTAGAAATGACGTCAACTCTTTCCCGCCGAATCTTTAATCAGGCTTGTGAGTGGGTGTATTTACTTTCGGGATTCGCCGTCGTTCGCCAGACGAGCTATTTCCGAATCGGTCAGCAATAATACACAGTTTCAAACAAATGGCGTGTAAATACCGTAGAATGGTACAAGTGTAGAACAGAAAATCAGGATTTCTATTATGTACAAGGTGAGGTTTTACTGGGCAATTTCTGTGTTCTAGGGCGATTACAGTAACCTCTTTCAGATAAGATTTTAATTTAGTCTAAATGTTGAAAAATCAATTTCGAAACTGGTAAATTTTATCGTAGTGTCGTAGTGTCTCGATTGGTCGTTTGTAGTAAAATGACAGAGCGGTTGTATACAAACATTGAGCGCCTCAAAATTATGAATGGATTACTTTTGAGGAGGGTTAATTAGCTGCTGGAGTATCTCTAGAATTCAAGTAAAAGAGCTTTTAAAGATTTTTCTCCAGAAACATACATCTTACATCTAGAGGGCTGTTATTTGGCTAGAAAGCTGCCTGAAGTGGAATATTATAATGCTGCACATTTCCACGTGCAAGTTGTTGGTTTGCGCGCCGCTATTCTTTGAGTTATAATATCTAGACTTTTCATCAGTGCTGTGAGTTTTTTCGGTCCAAACAAACAGTCGTTAGAAAGCCATGAAGTATTAAGCCTGTATGCACTCATTAACGGTCTTAGAACATTATGCATTAAATACCTTTAGTTGGAAAACACAAAAATGTCACGTTCCAGTGTATTATTCGTTGCTGTGCCATTGCTTTGGTGATAAGTAAAAAATAATGCACCGACTTAGAACATGATGCATTGAACTTAATAACAGTGTAACAGTGTAACTATTTAGTTCTCGTACCATAGCTAAATGAGTATTTACCACTTACTTGATGGTATAAATTCTTATTAAAAATAACTAACGTATTTGTGGCTATTTTTCCCGCAGCTATATGTAGTTTACGCTCAATGAATTGATCTGTTGTGTACTTATTGAACTGCTGTGTGGTTATTGAACTAACAAAAAACAATACATCGACTTACTTTGCCTTTACCAACGGTTTCTGGTAAGTTCTACCATTAATATACTCTTTAAAAAAATACCATGTTAATTTAGATTAAACACAGATTACAATCCTTGGCGAGGAGGGCGACTATATCAAAACTCATAGACAACCTTATTATAACAATAAATTAAAATTTCACGGAGGAAATTGTGTTGCTTGAAGGGTCAACTCATTTTTTAAAGCAGTGGAATTTGTGCTCTTTTTTTTTTCTCACTGCGATCCAACATGATCGATCACCAATTTTCATGGTATTTCACAATCCTTCAAAGTAAAGTCACGCAAATTACACAAATTAAGGTTTTTTAATTTCGAATCAATACTTGTCATTTCATCTGAACGTCTTTACGACTGTTTATTTTACTGCCCTTTCTTGCCATTCTTGAGTTCAAAACCACGCGATTGCTTCGGGCGTTTAAGTGAGATCCCGCCGCGAGATACATTGTCTTAAGCCGAATGAGGCGTTTTGTTTTGTTACTATAACCTCAAGATCTCTTTCAGGGCCACTTTTATTGGTCAATTTTAACGAATTGATAAGCACTGATGCTGATAATACTCACAGCTAGTTCTAATGTTCTTACAAAGACTAAACTGAGGCGAATTAACGCAATCTTTAGAGTGGTAATTATAGATTCCAGTTTCCCTAAACATCGCAATGCAAATTATACGTCATTTACGCCAGAAATACTAAACATATATTAACGTATTTACTTATAAAGCGGAAGACGTTTTAATAAAGTATAAAAGGTTGACCGCAACTTCCCTTAAATGAAGAATGTGAAAGACCAAGAAATTTCAATTTGAATTTTCCGTCACGTCATAAAACACGAGACTCGGGAAAAAAAGTTTTCTCTTTTGTTTTGAGCTGCAGGTATTGGTTTGGATATTTGCCGATTTTCCGTCTGATGGCTTTTCTATTCAATTTAAGGGTCGTCACTTTAAGCCTGTCATTCATAATAACAAACAAGGCGTATATAGATCAAATATGTTGATGACTAGAAAATATTGTTTAATATTGGTCATGTTTATGCTCATAAAACCTTCGTAAATCCACAAACTTTGGATTATGCTAAAATCGAAAGCAGAGACGGTGGCCTAATAGAAGCTGACATCCAGAATTTCTGTTACCCTTATGTTTTGCTTCTGCACCCCCTCACCCCATATGTCATTACAGGAACACTACTCAGCGACATGGAAACTTTGCATTATTACTTTGTTTTTCCTCATAGACCAGGTGGCTAAACTTTGAGAAGGTTGTCAAAAATTCTTTGCTATTCAAGAACGTTCATCATTTGAATAAAAGGAACTTGGAACTTCAAACTTACGCCAAAGAGAAGTGTTTCATTGATGATGAGAAAGAGTTTACCACCATCATAAATTTCTATCATGGTCTGGGCATTATCATCAAGCACTACAACACAATCATTCTGCTAAGTGGCTGATAGATCCATTCGGGCAGGTTATCACTATTCCAGACTTTGATAAAATGGTAAGAATTTTGATGGGTACTTTTTTGAACTGTTGCATGCGTTTTTTTCTTCCATAATGGAAAGTAAGTAGAGAATTGAGACTGAGGACTCGCTTTACTTGTATGTAAAAAAAGTGGACCTTTCTGGACTCCTGAACTGATATGTATATACATCACCTCACCCGTATTTAGTTTTTGTTTTAGTGAACCGATAGCAATTGTGTCGAATTACTTATGCAATTTACAAATGCCCTTTTTTATTTTAACAACCTTATCGCCAGGATCATTTTTAGTGATCTATTCATATATGTGTTATATCTTTTAATTATTTATTTTTTCTTCTGCCAACGGAAAATGTACTTTTGGATTTGGAAAGTCACGGACCCATACTTTCCATAAAACGTTGAACTTTTTGTTTCCTGACAGCAAACGTGTTCATCCTCATCTGGTGTGACACGAAGACCACATCGAGAATGTTTAATCTTGAAAGTTGCCCTTCTGGCTAATGAGTGGGGATCTTCTAAGGGTGGTCTGTCAACACTCAACAGAGCACTTGCAATAAATTTGGCAAAACTCTCAAACGTAGAAGTCACAATTCTTGTGCCTGAATTTGAGTGTAGTGGAGATGACAAGAGAACTGCCAGGAGTCACAACATTGCTATAAGGGAAGCAGAGCGCCTCCCTGGCTTCAGTGATCCTCTTGACTGGTTGTGCTTTCCACCCGATGACCTTGACATTCAGGTTGTGATTGGCCATGGTGCAAAGCTTGGTAGACAAGCCCAAATCATCAGAAAGTCTCATTGCTGTAAGTGGGTGCAGGTAGTGCACACTGAACCTGAAGAGCTGGCAATGCATAAGAACTATCCTGGCGCCGTCGCCAAAGGTGAAGAAAAGAACAGAGCTGAAGTTGAGTTGTGCCAAATTGCAGATCTCGTTCTGGCAGTTGGGCCCAAGTTGACAGAAGCATTCTCGTCCAAACTGCGTTCATCTCATCGAAAAATCTTTCAGTTAATACCAGGTTCCTTTGAAGAGTTTTTTGATATTAAACGTACTACGCAAGAGAGTGCGAATTTCAAAGTGTTAGCATTTGGTCGCGGTGATTTTAAAGACTTCAGTCTCAAAGGATATGACATTGCCTCTAAAGCCATTGTTGAATTGAAGGACAGTTCATACCGTCTGATCTTTGTTGGTGCTCCTAATGGAAAACAGGATGAAGTCGCAGATAATTTACTCCAGTCGGGCATCTCAAGAAGCCAACTAATTGTGAGATCATTTGTGAAAAACAGGCAAAGATTAAAAGAGTTGTTTTGTGAAGTTGATTTAGCCATCATGCCTTCAAGAACTGAGGGGTTTGGCCTTACAGCACTAGAAGCCATGTCAGCTGGTCTTCCCATTCTGGTAAGTGGAAACTCTGGGTTTGGAGAAACATTGCGTAATCTTCCAATGGGAGATTCATTGGTGATTAATTCAGATGACCCCAAGGAATGGGCAAGGAAAATTGCTGCTATCCGTAAAATACCCAAGATACAATTGCTTGAGGACATCCAAAGACTACGGAGACGTTACGAAGAGAGATTCAGTTGGGAGAGACAGTGTAAGACCCTTGTTGACAAGATGTGGAAGATAGTTTACGGTAAGGAGGTAAAGTAACGACAATGATAGTGATATTGTAATGTGCGTTCAAATTTGAATTCGAATGTGTATCTCAGCGTGATTGTCCTTTGTTTTGCCTTCATTTTACATGATGCATGTTTAAGGTTGTGGAAATGCGGCTGTGTTACCAACGCCGATCATTTACATTGAAATATGAGCATACCTATTCTCCTCGCACACTCTTCTCCTTACATTTCTTGTGGTAAAGGGTCTGGAAGGGGGTCCTGATCCCGCATTCCCGCTTCTTTTTCACAACGATCCCGCATCCCGAACTACTGTCATTGATCCCTATACATTTCTATCCCGAATACCGTTCGTTTTCTTTGCCAATACCGCATCCTGCGCCAAGATTTTAGCGAATCCCGCTTCCCGAGTAGCGGTCAAATCCGTATCCCGTCAAGAAATTTTGCTTTTTTCCCGAATCTCGCGCTATATTTCTGTCAAACCCCATGGATTTATATATACACATTCTCATTAAAAAGTGGATGTGTCCAGACTTCTCCTCGCAAGACCTCCGACAATTGGACTCTCGTGAGCGACCACTAACTTTCCTCACTTTGTGTGGTCGCGTAGGGGACGTTGGACTGTATTAAGGAGAAAGAATGGTGCGCTACTGAGGTTGTAATCCTTGACCTTTCTTTTTACTTCATCGCCTATTTAAACATTACAGGTATTGGAAAACCACAGGAACATGCATTTCCAATGAACAGCTTTGAAGAAGGTGTCTCAACAGGACAGTTGCCAGGTGATGTCATTGTCTGCTATTTTTGGAGGAAAGTATGCTTATCAGTTTGTTCAGTTTAAGCCACGGTAATTTAACCGGAATACGTCTTTGCACGAAATTGTCTGGTGTTTTTAGCTTTGTATTAGTGTACCATCCTCTATTAAACTAACGTGAAAAGTGACCTCTTTTTAATCGGTTTCCCTCTATCATTTACAGATGAACACGTTTTCCATGCACTTCAGCAAATCCAACTGGAAGCACGGACGAAGACCAGTAAAACGGAGCTCTCGCTGAATTTAAAGAGAATTTTTTTGGATAAAGGTTTCGTGATTTCCGATAATCAAGGAGAAGGAAATTGTATGTTTTTGGCGCTTTCAGAGCAGCTTGAACTCATCAAAGGAATCAAAATCTCCCATAAAGAGTTACGCTTAGCCGTTGTTCAATACCTTAAGGAAAACTCTAAGCTGGTTAGTGTGTTATCATTCTTTATCAGTGTCTGAGTTATTTGTCCTACACTAGCAACGTAAGGATTGAATAATGGTGGCACAGACAGCATTCCGTTCAGTTCTAGTGTAAATTTAGTAACGGACGTGGAGGCATTTAAGGGAACATTATCTTTTTTTCCTTTTCGGTCGTCAAGCTACCGTTGTTTATATCTTATAAACAGGCGTGGGCCTTAACAATGGTGGCAAAATTTGTATTTTGTTCCATCATTCTGTTTCACACTACAGGGTGACCCAAAAGTTCGTTCCTCTAATTTCATGCACTATAACTTTTGATGAAAACTTTATTTTTACTTGAAATTGCTAGAAGTTGTTTATTTCACTATCGAAAACATGTATTCAGAATTTCAGTTATTGGCGTACCCTTTTTTTTTTTTTATAACATTCTGTAGCCGTTGCGGCATGAAGTGGAATACAGCGTGTAGACCCACAGGTGATCCACATTGAGCTTTTTTATCACCTTGTGCGCAGGAGCCAGTTCAGCCCCCAAACAATATTTGTTTAATTTAGGCAGCTGAAAAAAATATTGAGCACTCATCCGGAAAAGATAATCATCCCTTCCACAGTAAGGCTTTTGTACTTCTTTACAAATTTGAGACGAGCTGGGCGTTACTTGGCAGACTAAGCAGAGCCTTTTTTGGCCGTCTCAGGGGTCTCTAATTTTTTAAACATTATAAACAGCTTTTCATGACCCTTTCTGAACTTGGCTTGCTAACTATGTGAGAGTTTCCTTGTGGAGACTGCTCCTTTTTGTATCTAGTCTTCTTAAAGCTATTTTACCTGCTTTATTCAGGACTTTTGGTCTTCCCCCTCGTTTCCTGCCTTCAAAACCTTCATTTCGCCATGATCATTTACCACCCAACATTCGGATTTTTCCAGTTTTTTAGCTGTTTCTGTAACACATAAGCCAGTAAATCGAAGTATAAATGCTTATGCTCTCGCGTAGCTGGACGTTTGTGCGTTAAGGATGTTTATCTTTCTTGATATTCACAAAAAACAAGGAAGGAGTTTGAGCAATTCGGGCTATAAAATACAAACAAAAAAAGGCTGGAAAATATACTCGCGCACGCGCACCTTTGGCGCGGCAGTACACAAATCGAATATTCGAGTCAAAAGATAGCACAACAAGTACGAAAAATAATAATGAATTAGATTGAAGGTCACAACTTTTGTTTAAATGATTTTCTTACCAAGTCCAATCGTACTGAAATACTAAGTACAGACGTCTCCTCGCAGAGTGGAGGAACGAACTTTTGGGACACCCTGTAGAGCGTAACGTTTTTCTTCTTCTCTTTCCATTTCATTGCTTACTTAAATGTAGACGAAGCTTACTTTGTCACACTTTTTCTTGAACACATCGAAGAGGAGTACATTTTTCGTCAAAAATGGTATATAAAAGGGTAAGGTACTGGACATCGGGGTGGAGCCTTATCAAACTTTGAAGAATAGCCCTTCGGGGTAGAAGCGTTTTACTCACTTGACCATCAGCTATGCAAGTGTGTTGAAACAAAAGTACGTTTTTCATAGCATTGCTTTGGGATATTAACGTGACAGACGTTTTATTGTTTTTGGGCATCAATAAGGCGGGTGTAAAGAGGAGAATTTTTCTAAGTGAGACGGGTACTTAGTGTTGGTGCTGTTGTCTGCTTTAAATGCTCTTGACAACGACGCATTTTCCTGAAAAGTAGCGTGTACTAACGCATTTCCCCCCATTTTTCTCTTACAGCCGGATGGAACAGAGCTGTTCCACTTTGTCCATGGATGCTCATCTTGGGAAGCGTACCTCGCAAGTATGATGACTGATGGTACATGGGGTGATCACGTGATTCTGCATGGTGCAGCAAACTGTTTTGAGACGTGCATCCACGTGATCAACAGTCTGCCGCATCACAATGACATATGGATCTGCCCAGAGTATGATGTTACTGGTAGCAACCGACTCGTGCTGGGTCACGTGCACGAGCTTCACTATGTTAGTCTAATCCCAGATATAGGATGGAAAGATGTCTGATTACACTGCAATGTGACATTTCCGAACTTGTGTTATCAAAATTCAAACCATTTGAATGAGGCAGTTGCACCTTTTATAAGCGTCTTATTTGCTAAAGTTACGATAAAACGGGCAACAAAAGCGTTAACTTTTTGTTGCGGCATTGCTGCAAAATGGGTTGAAAAGCTTGCGAAAAGTTGTTACAGAAAGTAGAGGGTAGTTTTACTTTTTGCAACAGAATCTGTGCATGTTGCGAATTTACCGGCGAAAGTAAACTTGTTTTGCAGTAAGTGTCTTAAGGTGATGTTACACGAGACGATTCGCAACGACGATTTTTAGTGCAACACAGCGNCCCCCCCCCACCCGCCCCGCTCCTTGTGACTACAGTATTTTTCTCTTTCAGCCGAATGGAACAGAGCTGTTCCACTTTGTCCATGGATGCTCATCTTGGGAAGCGTACCTCGCAAGTATGATGACTGATGGGACATGGGGTGATCACGTGGTTCTGCATGGTGCAGCAAACTGTTTTGAGACGTGCATCCACGTGATCAACAGTCTGCCGCATCACAATGACATATGGATCTGCCCAGAGTATGATGTTACTGGTAGGAACCGACTTGTGCTGGGTCACCTGCACGAGCTTCACTATGTTAGTCTCATCCCAGATATAGGATGGAAAGATGTCTGATTACACTGCAATGTGACATTTCCGAACTTGTGTTATCAAAATTCAAACCATTTGAATGAGGCAGTTGCACCTTTTATAAGCGTCTTATTTGCTAAAGTTACGATAAAACGGGCAACAAAAGCGTTAACTTTTTGTTGCGGCATTGCTGCAAAACGGGTTGAAAAGCTTGCGAAAAGTTGTTAGAGAAAGCAGAGGGTAGTTTTACTTTTTGCAACAGAATCTGTGCATGTTGCGAATTTACCGGCGAAAGTAAACTTGTTTTGCAGTAAGTGTCTTAAGGTGATGTTACTAGACGATTCGCAACGACGATTTTTAGTGCAACACAGCGTTGTAATGTTAAACAATGTTGTAACCGATTCGAACCCTTTCCCAACAATGTTGCAACGCTTCGTTGAGCTAAAAATCGTCGTTGTGAATCGTCTCGTTGAACATCACCTTTAAATCCCGTGTATGGTGTGACTCCGGCTTAATTTCACAAGGTTGGAGGTACTATCAATTGATGCTAGGAACCAATGAGATCTTAGCATTTAAACATGACATTGCTAAGGTCAAACAAGGACACTTTGAGACCGCCACCTTGGTTTTCTCAATTTTTCGTATTGTATAGTAATGCACCTCTTTAAGGTTTCAAATTTAAGTATGGGTGCTGCTTCAGGACATTTTTGACCTAATTCGGCTATCGCGAACTTTACAACGCACGTATTTCATAGCTTATGACTTCAAGATTTTCAAATGAAACGTTTAGTTAATAATTGATATTTAGATATGCACTTGAACTCGGAAGTATGCGGCCTATGAACTGTGGTTTTAGAAGTTTGAAAGGCACCTTTTTAAAATATAAGATGTTCCGAGTTAGTTAATCCTGTAAACAAGCTTTATTCTCTCGCTTACAAAGTTCAACAGAGCTTTTTCGTTCCGGCAAACATGAATTAAGTGAACAACATGACACAATTTGCTTGCTGCATAAGGGTCATAACAGTTATTATTATACATCAGACTCACTATGAAAAATCTGATTTGTCGAGAACATTCAATCAATTCACAATAGCTTGTGAACTTGACATGATAAATGCAATATCTACTGCAGATATTACAATTATCATGTCAAGTTTGACGTCTGCCTGGTTACCAAGCCCCTTGGAGTGTTCTCCTCAGAAACAGAATGGCTGAATGTCTTCTTTTGCCTATTGTTTAAAAAATGTATAATAAAAAATTATTGAATTCGGTTTTCGCATGATATCATAAATTATCAAAACCTCGTGTCTGTATTATCTGCCTCAGCCTTCGGCTTCTGCAGATAACACAGACCTCGGTTTTGATAATTCATGATATCATGCTCAACCTCATCCAATAATTGTTTATTGAAAAGTGTTTAATTTACCCTAGGGCTTTAGTAAAGATACGAACCCAGAAACTTCAATTGATCCAAATTTTTCAAAATGCGATTGAGTAAATCATTTTATTAAGCTTTTGCATGAGCATATTTGATCACGCTGGATTGAATTAATCATTGCCGACAAAAATTGTCGTGAATGGGAATCTCAGTTTTTTTCTGTAGCTTTGAAAAGCTAATAACTTTTCTTTTAACCTTGTTGACCCAAAAACAGTTGACAATTCCCCCACTATAACTCGCAAATGATGTAAAGCCTTAATTGTGTCAATGATTAGAGTTTTAAAATGTTGTTAAGTTTGATTTCGGTTTTGCAATCGTTCGCGCGCTGCGTCTTTTTTACACCGCACAGTCACGCTTTTATTGGAGGTTGCAGTAACTTTTACGAAGAAACATTATTTGCCGGCCAAGGTCGGCCTGGCGGCAAGTAACACATATTTCTTTTTATTACCATTTAAACACCTGTTTTCTATATTGGGCCATTTATACTTATGGTACAAATATTAGCATTCGATTGACAAGTGCTGTCCGGCGAGAAATCTCAGAAGCTCTTGCCCTGTGATGATAGTTGTCTATCATTGTTAAAATTAAAAATGATAATGGAGTGAAAACTTAACTGACTAAAACGAAAATAGTGGCTACAGATACAAGGTAGTTCTAGGAAAATTCTGATGATTATCTCATGGGCATTTGAAACGACGTTCAATACACCACGTGTGGTCGTATTTATTTTCACGGGAAGTGCTATGTGTCCTTACTTTTATGCGCATATATTCGAACATGCAATTATCTTAAAGGAGTACAGTTTTTTTGGTCCTTCATGGTAATAGTTGCATGGTTGCTGTGGGCCACATGAACTTGCTTAAGTTTTTATTGCTTGCTTAGGTATTTATGCATTGCTTTGTAGTTTTTCAGACTGTCAACTCTGTTAACTTATAATACTTAACATGGAAGTGAAAATCTGTGTTTAAATTTTAAAGTTCAGTATTATTTTTCTCTAAGCTAATTCTCTGTCACCCTTTGTAACATGTTCCGTAATATCGTCAAGATGGTTAATCGAATTCGCCTCATTTTCCAACAGTATATCAAAGGATTCAAGGTTGAATTAAGAAATAACAGAGTCGAACTGAACAGATCCAAAACAACGGTATTGGAGCTTGCTGGACCAGAGATAAGATATACAATTAAAAAACAGAAATTTGGCAAATAACAAACTAAAAACGCAAGATATACCAATAATGTTCCCATTGCCAATTTTCTCCAGCCTGCAGCGTTCCTCATGTTAGCATCGCTGCTCTGAGCTGTTGGTTGAACTTGTAAAGCCTGAATTTGGTTCGCGTGTCGACGTATAGCAACAAAAATCTTGACATTAAGTGGCGCTGTAGTCAAGAGAAGAGAGAGAAAAATAATGGTGTAAATAATAAAAGAAATTCGTGTCGGGATCCACAGTCTCAGAAACGATAAAATCGCGCTGCAAACCCACTTTGAAATCATTACAGCGACAACACGTTTGTGGGTCACAAGTTCTTGGTATCTGAGAAATAGGCAAACAGCGATGAATCCATCTAAACTTAAAAAGGTCACTCCAAAGAAAGACGCATAACCAAACAAATTCACCGTGAAGGCGTAGAATTTGAAGACTATGTTATAGGCTGGATTGTTTTCAGTGTTTTGCTCCATTTCCATGACAAGAGTGGCAATGTACGAAGGCTGCACCATCAAACCAACACCCAGATCAGAAACAGCCAGACTTAACAGCAGCGTTTTTAAAGGTCTTGGTAATGATGAGAGTTTTGTTAAGGCGTAGATCGTCAAACAGTTTAGCATTACAGCAGTGTAGGATAAGAAAGCGTTCAAAACGCAAGTGGTGATATATGATGAGGTAATGTCTTCATGGTTTTCCATGACTGTAGACGTTAAAGAACGCTGCAGGAAAGGAAAAGTTTCAAGGTCACCAAATTCTACTCACAGTTTTGTATTGAAATAAGCATGCGAGATACTTGATTAAAATAACAAAAACGAACGTTGAAGGCCACAGTGGCGCTGGTGTTTTTGGGAGTCTGTTTCCTGTCTTTAATAAATTGCAACCCGAACCTGTGATTGGCCACAGTGACCGCACACTCCGTCAAAAAATCATAACCAGGCTTAAATAATTAAACAGGCTTATAGTATAGGTGCAATTTTGACTGTCAATCATCTGAGTAATAAGTCTTCAAGAGTAAGATAATAATCTAAAAACATAATTAGTAGTCACAACGCGTTAAGATTGTAGCCTGCTCAAATTTAAAAATCCTAATGTATCAAGTTAATCAACTTGTGCTTTGTTTTAGCTAATAATCCGATAAACCTGGCTCTCTTATAAGATTATTTTTATGAAAGACCGAGAAGGAAAGCTATCAAAACTTTGAAACACGAGCTTAACTTTCCGTGATTTTGCTTTTCCTCGCTTCTCCTAGAAAACCCTACTCCGCACCATGCGATCGACAGGGATTCAAAAGAGACGAGAAGTTCAACAATTCAAAAGAAAAACAGATCTAATTTGATCCTTACAGCAAAGAATTGCGTAAAACTATATTTTAACTATATATATATACGAGGTTTTTAATGAAGCATCGGCTCCGTATCAGGAAGCATTACGAAAAAGTGGGTATGCTTTTAAGCTAGAATTCAACAAACCACCACAGCAACCACCATCACAGAAACGCAAACGACAAAGAAATATTATATGGTTTACTCCACCATATAACAAAAGCGTCAAAACCAACATCGGACGTGCGTTCATCAGCCACATTGAAAGATCTTTCCCAGCGGGCCACAAACTGAGGAAAATTTTCAACGGGAACACCATAAAGCTCAGCTACAGCTGCATGCCCAACGTCAAGCAAATAATAGATGGCTACAACAAAGCTATCCTGAAGATAGCAGAAACAGCGCAGCCACAGA